CCACAATGACAGCTGGTACTTGACAAAAAGCTGAACTCCATTAAGCAGAGAAATAAGAACCTCTTTACCAAATGGTTTGGCAAAACTGTTTATCAACTTAAGAAAATGGAAAAGATTTTCCTCTCTGTCTTACATACTTTAGGCATAATGCCAGGAGGGGCCAGTCCTCCAATCTTGGAAAGGTAGAGGGTCAGCACAGAAGAGGAAGACCCTGGATAAGATGGATTGACACAGTGACTATGGCCATTGGGTCAGGTGTGTGATAGATGGTGATGTCAGCTGAGGATAGGGCAGGGTTCAGAACTATTACAGGGTCGCTATGGGTCGTAGTCGACCCGACGGCACATAACAACAACTTGCTAGAAGAAAAAGCAAAATCATAAAGTGTCACTCAGTAAACACAACATTAAAAACAGTGAAAGAAAAAGAAATCCATAAACAAAACAGACTAAATACAGAAGATTTAGTGAAGTGGAACAAAACGTCACCACCATCACAAAAAGCCTAACAAATGACAGCAGTAAACATCACACTGAATAGTTTAAATGCACAGGTAACAGGCAGTGGGGCAGACTGAAAAACGACCCATTAATACGCTGTCCCCAAGAGAGGCACCTTGATACAAAGATATAAAAAGGATAGAGAAATCTGGGGAGATGGCAGCATAAACAAACCATTCTTCTGATCTTTCCTCACAAGTTAACAACAAATACCAGGAAATGGCATCCAGCTTTGAGAGCCTCAATTCAGGAAGCAGAGAAAAGCAGTAAAGAACTGTAGAAAGGCAAGAATAAACTGCTTGCTTATGATAGGAAAATTGTCCTACTTAATATCCCAGCTTCTCCACCCAGTCATGAACTGCAGAAGTGGCCTAGAAAAAGAACCTGATTCTTTAATCACCATTCCTTCTGTCTGTGCAAAGACAAAAGACCCCAAGCTTCTTCTCTAAAAGAAACAAAGCAGATCCTCCCAAGTGTCCATCAGGGGCCCGTACCTGCACCTGGCCACTGTCAGCAGCAAGCCTGCTGTGAAATGTCACAGAAGGCCCTCTGCAAAGTGTTTTCCCACACTACAGTCCTCATGTGCCTCAGCGGCCAGGCCTTTAAAACCACCCGGGATCGGCTGGCCTTCCAGGCACTGTCTGGGTCTCCCTGCTCTCCTTCCAGTTGGTGCTGAGGACTCTGACTGAGGCTGCTGTGTAGGCTGGCAGCCCCAGAGGAAGATCCACAAACACAGCCAACACACTCTGATATGGACCTGCTCAAGGCTCAATCTGGAGTGAGCTCACTACAAGCCTGCTCTGAAAGGCCTGTGGAGTCTTCCGGCAGTAACTGCTTTGCCAGCCTTAGTACTTCTCCCACAGCTCAGGTTGCTGAAGCCAAGAGGGAAGTCCTCCCTCAGCTCAGGTTTGTGTGCTCCCCCTTCCAGATAGGGCTGAGCACTTCTGAGGCTGCAGTGGCTAGGCAGAAAGCATCGCTGGTACAGTCTACCCTGCAGCCAGCACCTTACCATGACAAGGCACACCTCCCCAAAGGGCTATGCAGGGCATGGCAGAAGTTGGCCACCAGACTCTACTGCTTGTGACCTGCTATGAATTGCTATGGAAAGGTCCTCCAGTGGCATCTGCTTCCAACCCTATCAGCAGTCTGTCCTCCCCCCCATCCCACAGTTCTGACCTCTGAAACCAACAGGACATCTCCGCCCCCCCCCATCGATCATTCAGGGTCTTCTGACCTGAATTCCAGCTGGCACTGCAGTCTGTTGTTAGGAAGCAGCAGAACTGAGGGGACACTGCACAGAACTATCTACTCAGGGGATCTGATAACAAGAAGACTGTCCTCCATGGAGACCCCACCAGAGGTAACACCTCTTCCCCTCCCTGGTAATTATAGGTGGCTAACTTGCTATCAATTGTCATGGAAAGGGCTCCACAGTGTGGATCCGTTGCTGTAGTTAGCACTTTCCTTGCTTCTCTGTGCACTTCACACCTCTAGTTCAGAAGCCTATGGAAAAAATCTCCCTATGGAGTAGGTAGAGAGCTCAGGTGGTTCAGTGGTGAGGAGTTGCACTGTCAACCCAAAGGTACACAGTTCAAATCTACCAGCTGCTCCATGAGAGAAAGATGGACAATCTCCTCCTGTGTGGGTTAAGCAATGAGTCAGTTCTGACTCACTAGTCCACAACAGGGTGGATGATGCATGGTACGTGGTTCGTCTACTTCCTTTGTAGTCAGTACTGAGGACTGCTGAGTTAGATTGCTAAGTGTGGAAAAGCAGACATCTTGCACAGAAGCTACCCTCATGGCTAACATGCTCCAGGCTCTGATGGCAACAAAGCAGACCTCCTGGGGGCTGTGAGAGTGTAAGTGCACCTCTCCACACTTTTAACTGTACAGCTACTGGACTGATAGGAACTCCGACACACATTTCCCTTTAGCAGTCAGGAGGTGAGTCACCCACGGGGACTTTAAGCTCCTGAGGTTCACCGGTGCTCTGAGACCAAGAGGTTCAGCCCTCCTCCTCCTCAAACAGGAATGCCTCCTCTAAGTCACCTAAATGCAGGACAGATATATACAAACCCCACTAGAGAGACAAGAAAGCCTTTGGTGAAACCAGAATGCAACATTCAGTCCCGTAGAAAGCATGCTGGGTGTTTATTTTCTGACCAAAAGTGTAATTGCAGAAAAAAGAGGAGAAGAAATACTGGAGAAAAGAGACTGCATTCTCTGGTGGACAGACCGATGAGTGTCACCAGCAGGCTAGTGCATGATATTCAGCTGGCTGATATCAAGTTTGTTTTCTGGTGCATCAACAAGAAAATGGAAGTTGAAAAATGAGATCTGGACTCTCCAATGCCAATTACACTAGGGAGGGAGGAGTAACCACAAAGAGGAAGCAGACATGGTAAATAAAGTTGAACACTCTGTCCACCTACAAGTTTTCTGCAGGAAGTAATGTGAGGTGTTTGTGGCTCATCAAGGGGATTAACAAGACAGCCTGTTAATAATGCAAATAAGGTAAATGGCATTCTTGTGGGCTGAGACAATTCAAATAAGATGGATGGAACATGTGGACTGTTCAGTTTTGCCATCCCATGAGGTTTAAAATGGAACATTGCAGAGATGGGAAAAAGGGACCCTGCTGCCATCAAGAAATAAGACCTGGGGGTGAAAGGCACCTCCTGGACCTGAGAACCCCACAGTGAAATGTCTCGATCCAGAGAGCAGAGTTGTAACACAAGAGCCAGAGAGCAACACAGGGCAGAGATGGGGGATCCCTAACATGAGGGGCAAGAAAGCTCAGTGCTTCTGTGGAAGGGGCTTACTGGCAGAGGGGAGGGAGGTCTGCCAACCCCTTGTGCCTTTGGGCCTAGGCTTGCTCAGGGGAGTGGGGTTGTGGTCATAAAGTACAAAGAATAAAAAAAGATCCTTAACTCCTTACAAACCCAGGAATCAGCCTGTATCAGAAAGAATGTGTAAGAAAATATCACATCAGTAAAAAAACCAGCAATAAATTCTTTCTTGTTTTGAGAATGACAGGAATGGCACAGTCTGTCCCGTCTTTGACTCCTATAGGGTTGCCCTTGGAATTCCCCAGCAATCAGGTGCTTGTTCTAAAACAGCCAGGCCATGATGATTGCAATGTGTGCAAAGGAGGGTAAGCCACAAAGACCGCACATACCAACCAAGTTAAGGTAGAGAAGGGGCGTGATTCAATCACGCACATGCAATGATGCAACCTGCTGTCATCAGGTAATGAGACTTCAATCATGACTATGCAATGAAGACAATAAATTACTTTGAACAGGGCAGTTCAGAGATTTTCCGGCTGCTGGATATCCCAATACATGTGAAAGTAACACATTGTCAGGACAAAGCAGCCCTGGTGTAGCAGTATATCCAGACCTCATTTTCCTCTGAGTTTATATTAAAGTTGTTGCAGTGTTGTTGCACACCCCTTTCTGTGAGTTCTATGTGCCTTTCAGGTGCCTTCTTGAACACACAGGGGTATGGAGGGCCTGCAGGGGCTACCTAATGTCAGAGTGCATTCTGTTGAGTAGGCTGGGGAACAGGGACGGGATGCATAAGCAATGGAGCTGAAGGACATACCAGCTCCTCCATGGCAGAACAGTTTGAACCCACCAGATGCTCCATGGGAGAAGGATGGGCAGTCTCCTCCTGTGCAATTTACTGGATGGAGTGTCAGCTAAGAGTCAGTTTTTATTTGATGGAACACAATGAAGATTTTGTAAGATTTATAAGGATTCTTTTTTTAAAACAAAACAAACAAAACAAACCATAGCCATCTTAGAAGTCCACCTGTACATTATACATTACACATATATATTACGTGCTGGTTTTTAAACAGTCCTCAACAAAGTCTCAGGACTTCTTTGGAAGTGACTCAAAGATCTTCACTTCCTTCACCTGCAAAGGAGCTCAGAGGATCACATGTTTTACAGACACAGCTTAAAAGTGCAGGCTTTGCTATTTAAAAAACTAACTAAACCAACCAAAACTGAAAACTGCCCGAAGCACAGTGACTGTGCCTTGCTCCCTTACTGCAAGAGCTCAGCCATCAGTTGTGACAGACATGTACACCCTGAGTGAGAATCTGTCTAAAGAGCTCTTGACAATTGTCCCTTTCAAAACTACATGATGAGAAAAAGTCCGAGGCTAAAAGCACAAACTCTAGAACCAGTGTCACTTGTCTGAATTCTGTGTCATGATCTTGGGCAAAGTATTACATTCAAAACTGAGCAGTAACAGTATCAACATCACATTTACAATGGACATTAAGTGAGTGAAGAGCAGAGAAGCACCAGGCATGAGGTAAATGCTAGGTAAGTATATGCTACTAATTTTACCAAAAGTGCCTATCTGCTTCAATCAATAAGGTTTCCTACTTGAGTTTTTACTGCATAGATTACACTCCAGTTTTTACTCCTCCCTCCAAGTACACGCTGAATATAAGCCAACATTGTCTTATTTGAGGATTTACCTTCCGAGCTTCTGCCCTTCTCCACTAAAAGCCTTGAACCTCAGCCGAGGTTTTGTGTATTCCTGGTCTTGGTGATCCTCCATATCCAAACTCACTTGGCTGCCATGAACCAGTCGCTGAAGCTCCAGAGGAATTTCTCTTATAAAAAGGAAGGTGAGGAACGGTATTAACGTGGAAAAGTTTTTAAATAAAATTTGTTAACATCATTTTAATCAAGCTATTAGTTAGTTACACAGTAATATCAAAGTAAATACATTAAAATATGAAAACTGATGCTTAAGTTGGCATATAAAATTTTCCATGATCACTCATTAGTCAATTTAGCCTTTCTTAAAATCTGTATCACATTATTTCTTGGTGAGTCTCAAATAAGAGATGCTTTTGCTTGTCGTAGTGTTTCTGAAAGTTCAACAAAAGGATATTAATTTACAGCTAAATTATTATTGGAACTTTCCTATGAGGGTGTATCAGTTAATGCAGATATTTCTCTCCAAACTCCCTGTAGGTATCATGGAAACACACAGGGGGTTTCTGGTTGCTGTGATTCCTGAGTGCTGCTCTCCACATCAGTCCTGGGATGTGAGATCTCTTACAATGTGCTACCATGCACAGACTCACACACCCCAATTCTGGTCTTGAGGGTCACAGTCAAGGAGGGCTCTCCCAGCATCATGGGATGTTACAGAATTGTCTCAACTGAAATCTAACTCTGTTCTAAGTATAAGCACAAAACTCCCCATTCTTTCTTGTATTGTGCTAATACAGAATTAGCATAAGATTGAAAGGAAGACCATACTTTGTTTTGGTACATGTAGTCATTAAGATGCCATCTTAATGTAGTTCATCATTCAGTTCTGTATTTGTTACATTTATATGAGAAGCATTACTATAGAAAAATGAAAATCATCTGACCATTATGTCTTTTTGTGTCATCATACCTGATGAACCTTTATGTATAATTTAAAACTAATTACTTCCCTTTTATTTCTCAAATATATTTAATGAAGAATACTGTTGATGGTTTTTTAGAAATAATGTGTACGGGTAGGTAATATTATCTGAGTTTCTTTGTAATGATCCGGTGTCACAAAAACTTGTTATAAAAAGGGGACAATGGGTCTTCTACAGTTGAGCACTACTATCTGACATCGATAAAGTGGTTCAAAGACTCTTCTGTAACTCCTCTGGATCATAATTTGTACTTGAGGATATGGAGGAGCTGGAATTAAAAACAAATTTTTCTTTTAGTATACTATGACTGTTTGAACCTATATAGTCAATGAACTGTTCTTATTTGATAATAAATTAGTATTAACTTAAATGACAGTAACACTCATCACTAGGATTTTTTATTCCACCACCCTGAATTAGCATCAATTTCAACAGAAGACAACGCTGATCTTCATTTACTAGATGCACAAACGCCTCCTTCTGTGATTCCAGTAGGTTCCCAAGCACTGCCTATTATTACATCTTCGTAGTTATCACCAATGCGCTCTGCTGCCACAGTGGCAGAGCTGTGCCATTAGCCCAAGGCCTTGAATCCACCAGCAGCTCAGTGGAAACAAGATGGGCAACCCCTTCCAGCCTTGGAAATCCACTGGAGGGTTAGCTCTCAGTCGGTACCAACCCAACTGCAATGACTGACTCTTCACCACCACAAGCTGCCTTCAAGGACAGTACATTGCTTACTGAATTTCTTGCCTTCTCTCCCTACCTTTCTGGAGATTTCTGACATTATCCTTGTAGAACTCAAATTCACACTGGTTAATTTACTTAGTTTGATGCAAATTATGCACACGTTATATGGATTTTGCAAAGGGAACAAAGTGCGCATCCACTTTCTATGTGTGTTACATGCACTCACTTTCCATGCATGTTATGTGAATGAGCGTGTTATCTGTGTGAGCACATTATATTTGGAAAACACAGTTGTCTTTTTGAAGTACTCTAGTGAGAGTCACTCCACTTCTGCTACCCCCCACAGACGTACTTCATCACTCGTAAGAATTCCACTTCAGTTATCTATGGAGTACAGCCCCCTATTCTGGTTCCTTCTATTTGATCTAACTCAACACTATCTGTGTCATTAGCGGTACTTTTACTTACGACAGTTACCACTGTTAGTTAATGAAAGCAAACTTCAGAAACACTTTTATTATAATTGCAAAAATCACTTGATTCCTCATCCTTTAGCAGTATCCTCTCTGACAGATCCCATTCTTATAAAGTACAGTCCTACTTCTATCATGCATCCAAGAAAGCAAACTCTCAAGAGCAAGAAGGACCTTTAATTTGTCCAGTGTACGAAGGTCCCATTAAACAATTTCAAGAGAGAAAAATCCTCTTACCATTACTGAAAGCAAGAATAATCACTAAATTTTGATTATTCTAAAAACAAAACACATAGGCTCCCTTTAATCCCCTAATGTTATTTTGGATTAGAAAGATCCTTCATAAATGGCATAGCAGCTGTGGAGCCTCTGCTTCTCCTCCAAACCACTGTTGTTCACCTTTTACTATTCACCTATCAACACATTTCCAACCACACTTACACACGTAAAGGATTTTAGGCTCTGAGCAATGCAGAGGAGTATAAAGACAGTGAATGCTAGTGTAAAAGAAGAGTGGATTAGAATATGAAACACATGCTTGATTGCTTAGTTTCCTTTTTAAAGAACATTTTCAAAATAACTTTAATGTATCTCATTTCTTGTTCCATTTTCTTCTATTTGTAGAGTGAAACTGAGACTATGCAGTTATTTTAATTACATAATGAGGAGAAGAAAGGAACAAACATTTGAGGAAACATTTAACTCTTTAAAAGAGAAAAAAGACTAAGAGTACAGATTTCATTTCATTTAGCTGTTAATTTTCAAATTCCATTTACTTTTTTTTCCTTCTTAGAGTTTTTTCCTTTTTATTTCACTAAACATTGGTGGATAAACAGAAATACAGCAAAACTGCTTCAGATCATACTTCATCTTGTACACACATAAACTAATGAACAAATTCTTGAGAAACCTGAGATCAGTAATGAAATGGATACTTTCCTTCCACTGCAAAAAAAAATAAAAATTAAACCACACAAATTTACAATCTCATCAGCACACATTCTCTTTTGACAAATGATTCAGACATAGTGGGTATAAAGAAACTATATACTAACATGTGTATGTTGTTGTTATGTGCCGTCAAGTTGCTTGCGACTCACAGCAACCAGATGTACAAGAGCCCTAAATTCTGCTCTATCCTGTGCCAACATCACTGTCTCTGATACACCTACTCCCATTACCCCAATCACTGAAATGATCCATCTCATTGAGGGTCTTCCTCTCTTGTGCTGTCCCTCCACTCTCCCAAAAATGATGTCCCTCTCCAAGGACTGGTCCCTCCTTGCAACATGCCCAAAGTATGTCAGAGGAAGCTGCAGAATCCTTGCCTCCAAGGAACAACCTGGTTTCACCCTCTCTAGGACAAACCTGCTTGTTCTCCTAACAGTCCATGGTCTATTCAACACTCTTCTCCAACACCACAGCTCAAAGGCATCATTCTCTATCATTCCTGGTCACTGTCTAATTCTCTGGTGCATAGCACACAACTGCCAAGACTATATCCCAGATCAGGCACACCTTAGTCTCTAGCCTGACATCGTTGCTCTTTAGTACTCTGGAAAGGTTCCTGACGGCTGGCTTTCTCAATGCAATTCGTCCCTTGATTTTTTGACTGCTATTACCAAGAGTGTTGACTGTGGAACCAATGAAATTAAAACTGTTAACAATTTCAATCTTTTTACCATCCATAATGATGCTGCCAATTAATGGGGGAAAAAACCTCTCACAAACCAGAAGCAGCCATAATGATTAAGATATACTCAGTTACTGATAACCAGTTATGTCAAGGAGCATTATCAAAAGAAAAATCATGCTGCAGAGAAAAGTAACATATACATACACACTGAGAAAACAATTGCCAAGATTAACGCATACATGTTTACTAGTGGGAAAATATTTAATACTAGAAAAAAAAAATCACAGCCCTCCCAATCTTCTCCACCTTTGTTATAAAAAGCCCTCTGCACTCAACTAAAATAAAAATGATCTTAAAAGGATTTAATACTTGTAAAGACTTTTCCAGCCACAGATGGACATAAATATCCAGAGTCATTTTTCAAAACAAAAACACCTTTTATGGAAAAAACTGATACAGGTGACACTGAGGAACATAAATTAATCATATTAGTAAGGGCACTGCTTATGAGTTGTTAAATTTAATTAACTATAATAAAAGTTACTATTAACATTTCTGGACATAGAGATTTGTGGGATTCACATAGTATTCTCATCAACTCTATCAAGTATAAGTAGCGCTTAATGTCTCATGTAAGAATTCTTACAGCAAATCCTATTATGAAGTAACAATCATCTGATTCAAGGCGCTGCTATTTTTAGAAGTATACTGATTAGACATGTCTGCAATTTGCTAAAAAAGAAAAAGCTGCTAAATGTGGAAACTATATTTTATTATCTCTGTGTATCACCAAGTAAGTTAAAGAAGATGAAAACAGCAGAAGAGTAGAAACAGTACTAGAGTTGCGAGAAGAAAAGTTCGTTGAAAGTAACTCTAAGGAGGGCAGAGCTGTGTCCCGGTGAGAAGGGTCGGGGAGGAAGGATGATTACCGCATGCAGGTCAGCTGACATGAGGAGCTGTTGCAAGCACAGACTCTGGAGTCATTCTCCTTGGCTGTGCCTGCCAAGTCTGCCATGTGCTAGCTTCACGGCCACCAAAGTTAAAAAAAAAAAAGTTATAGAAACTGTGTGCCTCAGTCTTCTTATCTGTACTGTGGGCATAAAAGTAGTAGCTATTTCATAGTATTATAAAAAATAAAATGAGAATAAATATAAGTAGAGCACTTAGAATGTCTGATACAACATAGCAGATATTCTGTATACCTTAGCTCTTATTTTGATTATTATTTAAAATAGGCGCTACCAAAAGATTAAGGAGCCCTGGTGGCCAAGTGGTAAGGAGCTGAGCTGCCAACCCAAAAGCATGTGGTTTGAATCCACCAGCTGCTCCATGGGAGAAAGATGAGCAATCTCCTCTCATGCAGTTCATAGCTTCTGAAAATCTGCTAG